CCCACCCCGCAATATTGCGTCTGTACGAGCATTACAGGCTCATGTGATATACTACTTCCACGACACTGTTGTAAATCTGTGTTCTCTATGTAGCCACGTTGCTACTACGTATGGTAGCTTCCAGCGGGTAGACTGAGTTCTCAACAGTGACGCCGTCATAGACTCGATCAAATCGCTCCTTCAACTCAGAGGGCTTCTTCCACTCATACTCTGGGTCACGCAGCCAAAGTCGCAGGAGGTGCCGCCTGTCCAGGAAGGATAGTCAGCTCTTCTTTTCTCCCAAGCATCTGGACGTCAGGATACTTACTGTTTCTCGTCGGAGTCGGTGAAGGCACCCCTGGCATGTAAAATGCTCAAGTTATTGGCAAACTGAATGTCGCCCTTGCGAAAATCCAAAGAAATGGAGTGAGCTTCAGCTGTGAAATGGATCGCGTCAAGGGCTTCTGCCTGAGCCTCAGTGAGTGGCGGTATATGGGCTGATCGCTTGCAGTCCATGTATCCTGTCAAATTTCGCCGCGAATACTGAATCATCAATCGCTCTGGGTCTTTCTCGGTGGCAGACTGGTAATAGAGAAGCGGTCGTAGCTTGTATACATCGCCCGTCGACGCGAAGCTAAATGCAGACATGTCTTATTAGTCTCTTGCACCGGAACCTATGTCATTCTGTAGCGGTTGACTCACTCATCGAACGGCCAAGGCTCTGACAGCGTCTTGATCAGGTCTGGTCGTGTAGCTGCTAGGACATTGTACACATGGCAGGTACTAGCAAGGTAACTCTCACCACCCCAAGCACCCTCATTCAGACAGAATAGGGCGATGACATCACCAGCATCAGTGTGGAACACCTGCTTGTCAGCCGTCACCACCGGACCAGGAATGTCCTTGGAGTTGCATGATTGACTCAGATCCTTGACATGAGCTATCATAACGTCAGCTGGCCTTCCTTGCCACTTACTATCTTGGCGACCGCGGATAGGGGCGACGTGTGATGAAAGACCAGTGTAAATTATAACGTTCTCTTCGCGTGTGTACTTGTCGACTGGCAGACCCCGGATGACTTTGAAGCCATGGCCTTCGTGAACCTGCCTCGAGATATCCCGCAATGTAGTATGCAACTTTGGCAGTGGGAAGTTGTTCGGACAGATTTTGCCCAATGGCTTTCCTAAGGCTGATAGAGATTAGGATGAGTCGGAGCCGATGGTCCAGGAAGCATGGGAAATAGTCACATACACTGGAAGTATCGGAGAGCCCCATCTATCTCAGAGATATCCACAGTGCTGAGTTGATAGTTCCAATCATATCTATCAGCAATGGTTCTTGCATCCCACACTAGGTCACCTGACAGCTGTGCAGGGAAACCCTCAGGAAGATGCATAGCCAGCTCTTCGGTTTCCTGTCTGCGCTTACTACGCGCCAGATATTTGTCATGATCAGGCATGTAGTCAATATCAGCTTGCTGTGAAATAGTAGAGGCAACCATGGTGGGCGACATATGACCAGGTTTTTAAGGCACGCAGGATTGCTGAAAACCAGTGTGGACAGAGAGACGTGACAGAGGTTGCATCTAAGGACACTGAGTTTTATATCACTCAGGGAGATGTATGGCGTGATAGTACATCGTGAAGCCGGGCTACCTCAATTGCGATCATGTACGGCTATCTAACAGTACTGTCGAATGATTGGACTTAGAATGTAGTTCTCTGTAAGGAATGACAACTGCGGCATGTCGGGGCCAGTATCGGGGTGTCGGCGTCACTGTCGGCGTCCCAAGATCTTTGCGCTGGCGTACGTGTAGAGGACCCGCTCAGATGATGAGTTGACGCCATGAATTTTGGTAATAGACTATCAGTCCAGTTTAAACCCTATCAATCACCATCGTCTCGTGTGAGTCGCCATAGTGTCAAAAACGTTGATGAAGATGTTGGCACTGTCATATGAACTAACTTGTTTGTCCTTGATTAATTAGTCATATTCCCGCCGAGTCTTTGGTTGTCGACTCCCTGCCTAGAACCGAGACCTAAGAACATTAACTGAAGACAAACCAGTGTAATTGGCCGTTTGGCTTGAATATGCTCGTATCGGAGCGCAATAATGTCGTAATCTTGGAGAAAAATTATGTGATTACTTTATGCCGATGATGTTAAGTAGGCCTTCTCTCCTACTGCTCCATTTGAATGCTCGCGAGACCCTAATTTCGGAGTCGGAGTAAAACTCGGAGTCTCACGAGTCTCAACCGTTTCCGCCGGAGAGGAAAACATCGCACAGCGGGCGGTGTGGCATTCGGTGCAGAAATTTGCAGTCACCGATGCCTCAGGATGCCGACTCCGACATCATCAAATCGACTAACAGCGAAATCAGGCAAGCTCCCTGCCTGTGATCCATGCCGAGCGATAAAGCTGCGGTGCGACCATGACAAACCGGTTTGCTCACGCTGCAGGGAGCGTGGCCGAAGTGCTGATTGTACCTATCGTTCACGACCTTTCAAAAGACCATCTGCTCGGGCTGCAAACTGGCGAAGGCAAGAGAATGATCAGTCTCATAATACTGGAGTCACGGCCGATGAAACTGTCAACCCTCCAGCAGCTTTCCAATACCCCAACCCAGGCTATTTAGGCTCGTCGAGTCATACAACATTCTTCGATCAATTGCAAATCCAGAAGACCGCAGAATTAGGCCCCGCGACTGAAATCAACTCACACCCAAATCCGGCCGATGACTATATCTTCGATGACACCTGTATCGCCAAAGGTGCCGAGCTAATTCTCGAACTGCACCGAGAATCATTGATTCCACAGTTCACTCAGCTTTTCAGAAGATGGATAGCTACGGGGACCAATCTTGCTTTAGCTGGCCCGTTGACTACGCCCTGCGCATCTACAACTTCTCACCTAATCTCAAACTTTCATGGAACACATGCATCGGCAACGACTATTTCCAAGCGCCTCTTCTACAATTCGCGCTGCCCTCTCCGTCTCAACCATGACACAACATTGGACGAATACTGTGCTAACTTTTGTGGGCCTCATGTGCGATGGGAGACCTTGGGTCTTTTTTGTACCGCTGTCTGTCGAGCCTCTATTGACTTGACTTATGCAGAACCAATGTATGGCTCGGAGCAACAGCGTCGTAGAATTCAGAAGTTGACCCTCTCGTACTCGGATCAATTCTTGGATCTATGTTTACCCCTTGACTGTATGAATGACCTTCAACTTTTTCTAACCTACGAAAACTTCATATCTCATTCGCAGGTTGATGGCGACCAAAGTATGTGATTCCGATTCCCGACCCCCAAAAGACAAAGGAAAAATGAAACCTTTAACTACACATGTAATACTAAATACTAATTGATGTGATTCTAGGTTACCTGTCCTGGAGGAAATTGGGGGATGTCGCAGCGGCTCTTTTTGCCCTTGGTTACCACCAACAGCAAACAGAATCCTTTCGTGCAGCTCCTGCATTCCTACGAGATCTGCGTCAGGCCGCCTTCTGTCGAGCATACTCTGCCGACAAAAATGTTTCCATTTTTCTTGGCCGCCCACCTCGAATCCTACGTAGGTTCTGTCATTTTTACCTACCGGGTGATCTTGACGCGAATTCACACGAGGCATCCCGCAGCCCAGCAGTTTGGCTTGATACTCAAAAGCTGGACTTTGCTACTGATTCGAGATGGGCTGGTCTCTGTGCCATTCTGAAGGATGATATATTGGACCTGTTCACCGAGGACAATTATGATGAAAGGGCCCGAAGAGCATGGTAGGTTGAGTTCTGTGTACAAAACCTTAAATGTAGTACTAACCCCAATAAGGCTGATAGAGGCTGATATCCAGGCCCAATGGCTGGCGGTTCCTCGAAGTTGCCGGCTGGAATGTGGTCTTAAAGCCTGTGATCGACGACCAGTAGAACGAGACTTCATGGTTAATATGAAGTTGAACTACCTACATGTCCAATTCCTTCTAAGGCTTGCATTAGTCCGCCCTATGTCTACGGAGCCCGACTCCGACTTGCTCGATATTTCCTTGAAGATGCTGGGCCTTGTTGTCGAAACCATTCTCCTCAAAGACCAGATAGTGAACTCTGGTACATCGCTCGTATGGAAGGTGGGTTCCGTTTGCATCCAAAGTTGCAATATCCTGTCTAACGAGAACGATATCAAAGGTCGCATACTACGGCTTGTCCGCTGCGGGAATGATTTGTCTAACGCTTGTCAAACGCTCATTCGCCATCCAGAGCTTCACAACAAGCTTTTCCAAGATATTCCAAGAACTAAGCATCCTTGCCGCAGAAATCGAACGCGGAACCTTAGTATATATAGACTCACCCAACTATGCCTTGCTAGCTCGCGCGACCCAAACCATAAAGGCTATCCTGGATCGGATGATGACGCCTTCCTCGGACAATACGATGGTCGCTTCAGATAACCAACTTGAACATCCAGGTGCTTCCGAACAAAGGGAAACTCTAGATGACGGATCCTGGTGGTTATCGGACAATACCAACCTTCAAGAATTTGAGCTCAGTTTCTGGCATAATCTTGCTGGCCACCCGTCGCTAAACCAATAAAACGCACTTCCATACTGATTGTGCATTGATTATGATCAGGTATGCATTGGTTTCGCGTCGGGTCTTAGGGCTTATGTGTGGCGAGCTGTATATATCAACAAAATGACGTGGATGTCACACATGGTAGAATCTTAACGAAGAGTACAACATCGGTTCCTTGTCTGCAGCTTGCATTGGTGGATTCTACTGATATTCATGGGTTAATTAGAGGCCTTGACACTAGTCTACTGGCCTTTCTTTGGTGCACAGGTACCACAGCTCGCTGCTGTGCATTATTTACACATTACGGTATCCTGGCATTTACAACTTAATCATTGTTGGAAGCAGAGCTTTACTATTCGATTTGAATATAGTCCCGAGTCTTCCAATATCTTGTTGTAGCATCTGATGCTATTACCAATCTATGTAATTCGGCCATTACTCGCCTAACATTGATCAAATCAAAACATCCAGCGTCTGACTCCTTTGAGGAAAGCTAACAACCATGTTACACACCTTAGCCGAACATTGTTCGGACATCCCTCGGAGACATGCAAGCCGCGATCATCAACATTATCTTCCCGCTGGTATCGGTCCGTTTCCAAGTCAATCTCACCAAGAGGAACAAGCTTGGTTCTCTTGTAAAGCTTCCAAATCAAGAATAGGGAGCCCATGATTGGGAGCTCAATATAGTATGATACGAACCCAGCGGCATCGAATCTTGGGCTAAAGGATTTCCAGCCCTGTATGAGTACCAGAAAGAGATTCAACCCGGCAGCGAGCGCCGGGCCCCACGGATACGTGAAATTTCTGAAAGGTAGCAGGTGTTCGAGGCTCTGATGTCGGACGGCGGACCGGAAACGCAGCGAAGTCAGGCAGATGAAGAACCAGGATATCTGGTTTGACACCCCCACCAGATTCTGCAGCCACGACCAGACCTGACCGGCACCAATCTTACTTGCCCCGAAGCAGAGGGCACTGATGGCTGCGGTCGAAAGGACTGACACCCATGGGACATTGAATCGGTTAAGGTGGCCCAAGAAACGACCACCGGGAGTATGACCGGTAATGGCAAGGGTGTAGAGAAGGCGTGCGCCGGCGAAGAGGGCGTGATTGGCAGCAGATATTGCACTGGTCATGATTACAGCATTTATAAAGCTGCCCGCCACGGTACTGCCGGCTTTGTTGAAGACAATAGTGAAAGGGCTGGTTGAAGCACTCTCTGTCGATAAACCAGGATAGTTGTAAGGAATATCGAGACCGATGATGATGATAGATACCACGTAGAAGAGAAGAATGCGCCAGAAGACATTGCGGATGACACGAGGATAGGTCTGAGATGGATTCCGTGTCTCGCCAGCTGTAACGGCCACATTTTCGGTTCCGCCACTAATACTTAAAATTAGCGATCATAATCCAGATTTGCTTGGGCCATGCATGTGAGTGTTACTAAGCGAAGGAAGCTGTCACAAAAACGGAAGCGAAGCCTCCAATCCCCCCGACAAAGGGCGCGTCCCCGGTGTAGAAGTATTTAGCGCCCAGGTATGTTTGGTCAGTATTAGCGCCACAGTTCACAGCAATCCCGACAATGATGAAGACCTGAATGACATAAGATGGAGGCACGGATGTAAATGACAGGCTTGCGCACATACAATGATGGTCAGGACTTTCAGTAATGACAGCCAGTATTCGATCTGGAGGGATGATTAGTAGAATGTCACATCTCACTCTTCGTTATCACCAAGATACCTCTCCAAAGACCCTGACTGAGCAGATATTCAGGGTCAGAACGAGCGCAAGGCAAATGAGACTTAAACCCCAGCCAGGAAAATGCTTCGTCCAATATTCCAGCAAGACTTGCAATGCTATAATGTCTGAAGCTGTGGAGACAGCGTCATTTGCCCAGTAATTCCACGTTAAGGCGAATCCAAGTGCATCATCGACGAAACGCCTGGTCAATGTCAGCAAGAAAACCGAGAACGACGCTTTCATTGATTCTCGTCATACCCTGAGAAGGTGCAAAACGAGCCTGCAACAGGCATAAATGCTACCATCTCTCCCAAAGAGAGCATGGTAAGGAAAACAATGCCACCGCAGATAGTATATGCCAACAGTGTCGACGCGGGTCCTCCAGTTGCGAGCGCCTCGCCTGTTCCCAAGTATAGCCCTGTTCCTATAGTACCCCCAATGGCAATCATCTGAACTTGTCTAGGGGACAATTTTCGAGCCAGTCGATTCGGTCTAATATCCTCTAACTCTCCATCCATAGGACCAGCTGGAGGGACTGGTCTCGACGTACTGCCAGGTTGCAGCTTTTCGGCGTCGGAAAATGACATTTTGGTGGGCGAAAGCAGCGGTTCTCTTAGGAATTCATATACTGCTGGTCAACGAGCGTTGCTTTGTATATATGTTACCGGATGTGAGGATGCATTCAATACTATATGATTGCCACTGTTGGAAGCTGTGGGTCTACCAATCCCCGCTAGCCAGTCGGCGGGAGGACAAATGAGCAATCCAACGTTCCTGCTGTCGTCATTCGACACTCCGAAGCCTAGGGTCAATGGGGTTAGCTGATATTCTATCCCGTGGCCGCTAAATGCAGCATTTCCTTGACATATTGCCAACTTGCATGCTATCGAGGTGAGCGGTAACCATGTTTATATGCTAACGGTATTACCAAACTTCCTACATTGGCATTTGATTATCAATATAGAATCGAACATGACCGTATAATTGGAGTTTTGGTGTTCAACAAATGGAAACTAAATGCATATAATTATCTTCGATGCGGCTTTGCGTCTCAATCGCATATAGGTTGACTTTCATGCCTGCTCGTGTTTTTCGTTTTCGTGACAAATTATTTTAGTAGTATTATTATCACCTCAAATGGGACTGCATCCAACAAAGTATTATAGCCATCAGTATGTTCCCGTGTGCTCCCTAGTTCGGGAAACTTAGAAGGATTTACCTGCTACTTGTACCTAGAGCTGCAATTGGAATCTTCGTAGATAGCTGGTTTACTTGAAGATTTCCAGGGAATCCCAGAGCCTTCATAGTATAACACCTCCAAGCCAATTAGCAAAGGCCAGATGCATGGTCAAAAATACAATGAACAACTAGCCATTAACCTTTCAGGCATGCGGGGATCGCAAAATAATGATGCATGACGAGGCAAACTATTTCTGATTTGCGTTACTCATGTGATACTTAGATTAATGGTACCTATATTGCTCAGTATGATCCTCTTCCTGCATGCTTAGGTTGACGCTAGGGAGAAGCCATCGCGTGTCACATTATTAGTTTGGAAGAAATAGATTCAAGTTATGCTGTCAGTATATAGAAACTGTGACTTTGACTACTTCGATGTTCATGCTGGATTGAGTTGTTCGGGGTAGTCTAGCAGTAGGAAAATTTACCTGTGGGTTCTATTAGGCTTTTAGACGTCTAGTGGCATTTAGGGAGAGTATATGACTATTGATACCGAGAGTGATTTCCCGTAATATTTTCTGTCGAGATTCTGGAGATATGGTTTGCAAGTCCAAGAGCGAAAAGGGTTACCCCGAGAAGAAAAGCTACACGGGTTAAATGTGGCAAACAAATACCTGACCGGGTAGTTTGCCAGTCTAAATAAATTTACTGTCAATATGGTAACTTACTGTCATCTGCGCGGGCGGGCTTCAATAGTGTCTACAATGGCCCCTGAAGATGAGGACCACTATAAAATTTAGTTACCCAACCACTGTCGTTCCCATATTGTTAGTGGAGCTTTGATAATGTCAAAAGCCAATAGACGTTTAATTTCTGCATTTACATCATGTTTATACTAGATCGACCCAGTATTAATCTTAGTGCTGGCTCTGTTCTTTGATTGATAACTAGCACGCTCTATTACTGTAGACGGATACATTCATAGTACATCCACCAGTGCAGTCTCTCTACCTGAAACAGCTGACTGCCCAGGGCACCTAACATTTGGTCTGGCACATGGATTGAGTCATCAACTAAAAGCATAGTGGAGCTTTAACTATCAAAGAGGAAGGCACATCTCTTGGAAGAATTCGATCGGGGTGCCTCGGATATTCATTGACAGAAGCAATCAGAATATACACGTCAATCAGTAGCCAGAACAGAGCTGAAGTAACCTAAATCGCGCACCCACAGTGTGCTCAATGCCCGAGGATCATCTTCGGGGATGCGCAGACGCAGCCACAAGAGACTAACCACTAATCGGGACTAGGGATCGGCTAGTTCTCCGATAATGTCGGGGGAATTGAAAGGGGCGGCCGAACAGCCTTGGTCCAAAATTGCCTCTTATACCATGTTCCATGCTCCTTTCCTTTCCCCTCAGTCATTTAATACCGCTCTTCCGAAGGACAATTGTGTTCTATGCTTTGAACTCTTCTGCCTCTTTATCAAACTCATCCACTTCCATTGGGCTGCAAAAGTCCAAGATCTCCAGTTTAATGTAAGTCTTCTATCTGCGAGGCAACATTTAAGAAAGGGCCTATTCTAACGGTCTGCGAAGACAGCAAGATGATTGTCACGCGCGGAATATCATTGACAAACTTTGTCGTGGCATCGTCGGCACTCGCATTCCAAGTCTTTGTCCTCTATCCATGGCACAAGCAGCTCGATGACGGATTCGAGGCTCTTAAGAAAGAGCACCTTCGAGTCTTAAAGTCTCTTGAACAGCTACAGCATGACAGTCGGAAGCAGCTTGACGAACGATTGGCTTGAGGGATGGATGGATCATTATGGTAAAATGTGGCGATAGAATAGACGGGTTCGGTTAATCAAACGCATCATAGACACGGCCTCCTTCTCGATAGTAATGTCGAGTTACGGAGCCAACGAAAGGTATATACTGGGGATAATGTACAAGGGTCTCACAATGAGCTTATCGAGTGTCTTGGACGTCCCAGACTTTGAGAAACAATATAAGACTTCCCCAAAAGATGACAACCTGTAACATTAAGCCACTCTTCTTACTTGATGGCCTAGATACGAAAGTGATGTGTCAATTAAACCACGATGCATTATGTTTCGAGGAAATGACTGCCGCAGAAATTGAAGGTTTCTGGCGCGGATATGGCCGCTATGATCGGAGCGAACTCCGGTCCGGTCGGCCTTGGTTAAAGACACACATAGCCCCCTTTGGGTAACGGGATAGGCGTAAGTTAAGTAGTAATGGATTATTATCTCATAATAAGGCAGGCATTGATATTGCTCCCATCATTGGTCAATGTGGGTCTGTCCAGTGTATCCCAAAATGCCGAACCCCTTTTTGGATGATCTGGCCGGAGATGGTTCGTATCAGTCGGATCCGACTGATAAGGAACCTTGGGTCAATCATTGCCCCAATGGACAAGAATCAAGGAAAGGTCCTTGCTACCAGTAGGCTCTGCAAACTTCCCTGTCCCTTCGTAGACAACATTTTCCCGGCTTTCCAACACGCCGGCTAAACAACTACCTTTTCTACTGTGTGACTTGTCAGCTGCGTTTGTCAAGATTTATGCCACAGGCATTATTTCTAAGCGTCGGGAACCTAAAGGGTTCGTCACCCAGACAGTCAAGTCTTACTCATCGGAGAGTGCAGATACATGCATATTAAACTCTTTGTCTTTTCATAACCCGTCTGACTGAGGGAGCATCATTGGGATCCTCGCTGAGGATATGGGATCATCTGCCGAAACTGGAGCCCTGGCCAAATTGCAGGGTCAACAAGCCACTTAGGAAACGGAAGTCCGTGAATAAAGTCCCATGCAGATATATCATGTGTGTGGATCAAGCCAACGACTACTGGCATGTTGAAATGGATGAACTTCAAACCTCACACTGGTTAAAACCAAGCCTGTTCACCAAGATCTTCCTCGCTGTTGGTTGAAATTGTGGCGGTAAACTTACTAGCTACCGCCAAATACCTAATGCATAAGCGAAACCTGCAGGTCACGCCGACCGTGGCCGGAAGGCATTGAAACACCGATACGTTCCATGTGTTAGGGATGTTTCTCCATCACGCATAGAATATCAACACGCCGCCCAGAAGAATCTCTGTTAACTGTTAACGAGTCATATTTCACTGGTGAACAGGCGTCCATACGAAAGGTAATGCAAGTGGATGGCTAACAATGAGATCCGGATGCGCTGGTATCTTGAATGTGGATCTAATCCATAATACTAGGAACATGAAGGAGTACCAGGATCTAGCAAGCCAAGCTGAACATCATGTCTCAATGTCCAGGGAGCTGATCTTGGGAGTCAGGAAGCTTCCGATGTGTTCACCTCTCAAGACAGAATCTTTTATCCCAATCATGCTAGTACAATTAGCATGGCGAGGTGAACAGCTAAATTACGTACCGAATACCTCGTTTTGATGTGATAAGCTTCATGTTGAAGAATATCGTACTTTTAGAAGATGTCAAGAGTCTAAGCTATACGATGGAATCCGATCATGGATGCATGTAATGCTTTAATCCCTACAAGTTACTGATCACATCTCTAGTCATGTTATAGAATACGAGGTTACTCTCTAGACAGTGACCTCTGTCCCGATAACGCTGTGACTGTCGCGGATAATGCTGTCCTTAACCCACGGGCCTGCATTGAGTATGATATCGAGGGTGGCACATATCTGGAGACCAGAATATTAGCTGGTGATTTTATCATGATTCTTAGCGATAGGAAAGACCGCATTTTGTAACCACTGTAGAAACAAACGCGGAATTGAGTAATCTGTCTGAAGCTTCCTGCTCAGTCATTTCAAACAGAACGTAGGTGTCCCAGTGTTTGTCGCCTGAACAATAAGTGTGATGCAGGCCATAAGACTGTGTGACATGTACTCTACTCTGTCAGGCAGTTATCTAACATGGTTACAACATCGTCTGCGGCTAAGAAATAACCTGATTCTGCGAGTTTGGGTCGTTCTTTCAGTGAATCAGGTGATTATGTGGCACAACGGCCCTTGCAGCGTGCAATTAGGGGCACATCGCTACAGCCTTATGGTGGACCGATGACGTAGCAGACAGGTTATGACAGAAGCCGGAGAGGAAGTTGTGCAGTAATGTACTCTACATGGCTTATAGCTTCAGTTGGGATGGTAGTATCTTCTTAGGGTATATTGCCGATGGTCGCTTTGTGTATAATAGGTGAATCTATGTATCTAACATCCCAAAGCGTGTGATGCTGAAGGTCACTACTACTTAGCTATCGTCATATGACTTCATTGTATGCAACAATCAATGTAATCTTATTCAAAAGTCGTTAGAAATAACGCTGGCATGAAAAGGCCATCTGTCATGACGACAGTACGGGGCTACTAAGCAGCGAGTTCCCCAACCCAATGTCCTAGGCTTTCCAGACTCAGAATTAGAAACGCAAACCCAGGGAAGGTTTAATCACAATTGAACTCCCAGGGGCAAGGGGTACAAAGTGGGTCAAAACCGTACATCTGGCCATTCCTGCGTACCCCAGCGTGTGCATTTCTAAAGCCACAAAAACATATTAGGCCAATACTGCTTACCCTCTATCCAACTTTCCTTGAAGGTTGCCATCGTCTAACAAGCTGCCAAACATTGCAGCTTCAAACAAGTAATTGACCTGGAGTGCATGCTGACAGGCATGGGCTATTAGCCAGCTCATCTCACTGACCAGACCCTTCGAGTATGTTGTTGCTATTGTAACTGAGAGCTGTTCAACTAAGTGCTGCTCCATTTCCTCGTCAATATTACCAGCTGCCGCATATTGCAGCACTGCTGGTGAGAGGGACCACCACAAAGTTGAGAGGCTTGGGTCACTCCATGATTGCAGGTGTTGCTGTACATGATCGCAATATACATGTCCATTACAGGCGTTCTGGAGAGGTCGGCTGAAGCCAGTTGTCCGGTAATCACGATCGAATGTTTCGCCAAAGTCTGCCTCTTTCTGACAAGTATATGTTTTCCGTGCCTTGGGGTAGCCGAGCAACGCCCTGCGAAGGAAATTATGCCTGCCATTGAGGATATGCCAGGGGTAAAGTACCATGGTCAATCTTGCACATGGATCGGACCAGCGTTCAGTCAACATTCTAGCACTGTTATATGCGCATGCATCATAAACACGCCTCAGCTTTTCTTCAGTGATAACGCCCTCATCACATACATCTGCTGTATTTAACAGGGCGTTGAGTAGCTCCGAATTCAGACTATCGGATCCGACATCCACAATGTCTGTTAACGAAACACTCTGCAACAAGTCATGTGCTGTGGCAGCACAATCAAAGCCGCGTGCTATCGCCTCAACGCCACACTGCCAGATAGAACTCTCGCAAATCCATAAAGGTAGCGCCTGGTCACGATTGGCGCGTGCCACTTTACCCGAAAGTTGTGTGACGTATTGCTCCTCTAGTGATGTCTTTTCTCTCGTGTATCGCAGGGCCAAACCCGCGGCGGTCCTTCGATCTCTGCCGCCTGGCGTAACTAGCGCCTGGGGGTCATGAATTGCCTGTTCGAGGGTCTTCACAAAGTCGGGAAACACTTGGTGATAGGCATGCTCCCAAAAAAAAATCATGTCAACACAGTAGTTCGAGTAGAGTGTGTGGGCGTCGTAGGCTCCGCACAACATATTGAACAGGCCACTTCCGAAGAGTGCGGCTCGCGTTAAGAGCGGCTCAGGCCAATTCCGTGCATTCAGCAATTCGACTACCTTCTCTGGCACTCGTGCCAGTCCGTTGCCTTTGGATGGTAATATCCACCCATTATGTTGTTGATCAATCCGCCATTGCTGCAGCTCTGGTGATAACTTGAGATTGACTACTGGGCAATGAGTAGTATTCGACGTTGAGGGTTCATTAATTGACTCGAAGATAGACCTAAGTTTCTGCAGGCCGCTATCAACCATTATTTCAAGTTGAGCAATGGAACAATCACCCATTAGGTTCCGACATTCTTCATATCCGGCCACTGGAGGAGGTTTCGGCACATGGGTATTGCCCCAGAAATAAGGTGGGGTTTGCTTGACAGCGTGGGTGGGCTGCATCGTGTTCTTTGAAAAGGTCTCTTTGATCATATCTTGCTGGGATTGGTTTGAAGGAGTCATTTGAACACGAAGTATAGAATCCACTTAGAGTTGAGGGAATGTAGTGAGTGATGCGTTCAAGAAATGTTATGCTGCGCTTGCTGTTTATATGTGTTTATAGACTAGCGCTAATAAGTGTGACTTTGATAAACATTCCAGGCCGATGTTGCATTACTAGGTCCCAAGGAAAATGATAGTAACTACAACTAAACTGCTGGCCGCGTAAGACCCGGGTTCCAGTAACTACTGATGTAACAATACCCGATCAGGAAACATTGGGTTGCAATGCTCTGATTTTCGCGCAAAGGACTGAAGATCAAATGGCCCTATCTGGTTACACACATATTGAGACCCATATCTCACATCCCACAATTTGCTCTTACCCCTCCAATGATGTATTGGATAAAGCGTGAAAATATAAAGTTTGGTCTGTCCAATAGCCAGTGATGTAGCTGAGTGATGGACGTTTCCTGTGCTACTCAGTATCGGTGCCCGTTCTTCTTGATCAGGTCATAATCTGCAAAGCTGTTGCTACTGCCAACGGACCAATCGTAGTTGTTGTTGAAATGCAAATTACTCAACCCCGTAATGAGCATTGCCCATATTCGTATGAGAACATAATCATCTCAACCCAGTATATTTCACGCACGCTTTGAATATCCCAATCACACCACCGAGTCTACCTAATTGTGAGGGCTACAGATGATCAGTGTAATTTATCTGTCCAGATAGGCGGTAGCTTTTGCTCTAAGAAATGCTGCAGCCTCGTATCAATGTCCAATTGGATGCGTTCCGAAAAGAGACAGTCATCTCATGTCCTGTCTTGTTCGTAAATTCACTGCCAGCGGGGTCTTAACCCAGACAGCATATGTCTCCTGATCCTCCCAGCGTCCGAGGGGCCCCTCTGGCTGCACGTCAAAGTGATACAGAATTTTGCCCAGAATGAGGACGATCTCCATGCGGGCCAAATTCTGACCAATACAGTCCCGCGGGCCTTGTAGGAACGGCTGCGTAGCATGTCGCCGGTCCTTTTCGAAGGGGTCATCCGGCGGAGATGAAATCGACGGGCGCGAGTTGAGCCAGCGCTCAAGGCGGAAGGCCTGAGGGTCAGTATAGTTCTGTGGGGAGACATTGGCAGCCCATTGCATGTAGGAGACAACGGTCTGCAATTCATCGTTAGCTTCTATGAGTCTAAATTGTCTCCTTTCCCCACTCTGGGCCAGAGCAGACACGCAAGTAATGAGAAAGGTGGTGATAATATTGACTTACCCCCTCTGGAAAATATTCCCCATTGATGGTATGGCCCCCAATGGGAACCAGTCGAGTCAACCCCAGGGGCACGGGGGAGGTGAGACGGATGCCTTCCTTGATCGCTGCTTCTAGTACGGGCAGCCTGAGCAGGGTTGACACGTTTATCTGATCGGTAGAGGGAAATGCACCGCGCACCTCGCTTGTCAAGCGATCCATTATTGTTGGATTCCGAAGGAGGTGAAAGAGAATGCCAGTGATGGCGGTTTGAAGTGTGTGGCTCCCAGCAACAATGAGAGTTGCGGCGTTCGCTACCATCTCGCCTTCGGAGATTTCCCGGCGGGATTGCTGCTGCACAAGGTGTGCTAGGAAATCCGGCCTAATAACCCCTGCCGCATCATTGACTCCCGTACTGGCATCGCTTTCCAGCTGCTGTAACCGGCGCTTCACCTTCTCTTTGGTTGTGGCTTGGTGCTGGGCCATGAGCACACCCGCAGATTTTGGGAGGCGCTTGACAAGGTAGTTAAACAGCCAGGGATAGAAGCGGCAGGAGGCTAGCTGGACTTTGGCTTTGAGCGAGTAGACGAGTTGGCCCACCCATTCGTGGTAGCGTCGATTGTCCAAGCAGCCGAAATCTTCGCCGAAGCTTAATTTGCAGACGATATCAAAGGTGCAGAAGCTGATCCACTCTTGTAGATCAACCTTCTGCGTAGCTAGTTCGCTCTGGGACTGCATCTGGGTGATCATCTTGTCGACGTAGCTGGCAACGAGCGGCTCCTGGGCGCTTAAGGCCTGGCTGCTGAAGGCGGCCGCATAGGCCTTGCGGAGTCGTGTGTGGTCAGCATCGCCCGCATCGAGGATGCTAATAGGCTGCCCTGGCCTTGGAGGTGCCTGGCGGATGGGATCTTTGGGAAGTGACTTGAAACCGCCGCCGCTCGGTCGGCGCTGATAGATGTCTTTGACAGTGTCGGGGTTGATGAAGGACACCTCATTCGGGGCAACGCGGACGGTCTCGCCATAAACCTCGTGAAACGATTTTATTTTGTGCGCCAACTTGCCATTGCGGAATGCCAGCATATACGGCACACGGGTTAATGCCCAGAGAAGCGGTCCATTGTACCGAGATAGCGGGTGGAAGTAAAGCCGCTTCAGGGCCAGGAGGATAGGAAGCTAGAAGGCACGGATCAGAGATTGGGACAAATTTTTGGTTCTTGTGGCCGCAGTGGGCGCCAGTGGTCTTACCAGTAGGACGGTGATGAGAATGGCATTAACTGATGAAGGGGCTGCCATGATCGTGCGCAGGACGTAACAGAAGCAGAGAGTAAGAGGCGAGGGTAAACGGCCCAGGAGAGCTGGACCGCTGGATCGCCGTGTTTAATATAAGCTGCCGCCCGGGCAGAGGTCATAAAATCGAATCTGGAAGGCATTGACGTGTGTCTCCACTGAAGCTTAATAACAAATGAGGCCCAAGCAATTGACAAGCCTTCGTGGGGAGCTTTGATTGCGGATGAGAATTAGTGTGGCCATTAGCTTGAATGAAGAGCCCTGTGTGTCCAAGAGGCTCTACCATCCATCCAATACTACTAAGTACTACTCGGTACTATTAAAAATGATGGCTGATTGATGGAAGATCACGGTGTACACTTGGGTTTGTCCTGTGCCCAATTCTAGTCTATCAGGCAGCAGGAATCCACAACGGTAAAGAACCGACCGTAAAAAGAGGGCACCAGAAAGAAGTCCATAAGCTAGGAAGCAACCGGGTGCATTCGAACAAAGAGAATGCCGATCTTTATGAGGGCTTTTGGCCGAGTTGCTGAAGTAGGAAGGCAAAGGCACAGCGGGCGATCCCAAATCCAACGGTGCGGAAGGGGCTGGACGCGGCCTTTGCACCCGGTCTGTTCCACCCGCTCCACTGCCCCGTCGACAAGCTGAGCCACGACAACTAACCCTTGACTCGCCTTGCGATCGGAGTCGACTTCCCTAGCTATATTGTCAAAGAGGTAGGAATAACTAAACGGGAGAAGTAGGGGCTGTGAACTCCGCGTTACGCTCTAGTTGCTTATAATAAAGGTTGTGATTGAGTAGTCCCAAGCTGCACCTGTTGGTTCAAAACCCCCCTTGAAGCCAGAGCATCTTATGAAATACCCGTAGCACAGTAGTACCCCCGTTCTGTGCCAGTCAAGGAGGCCAACACTTGTCATGTTGGTACTTGGCTGCCAGGGCAGTTGGCGATGAGTTAACCTTTCGGCTCCACCCGGCAGCGTCCACAGCACCCTCTCATAACAATGGTATCTGATCTCCCACTTGAGATTGGTCAACGCTACGTGAACCCCTGCTCCCTGCTCTTGAACCAATGGAACTAGCAGTAATGTGCCCTTCCAAGCGAGCCACGGAGACTGCTCATCTCATGCCGATCGTTTGCCCGTTCCGTTGAGCGCTAAAGAGGGCCGACCAGGCTTAGGCGGGGAATGTGGCCCGAACTCAAGGCTGGCAGCCTACTACGAAGTACTATGCCAGCTAAGTTGGAAGTGTGCTTCTTAGGGTGAAACAATCTACACCTATCCCGGAATATCACATACTGGATGATAGGATGGTATCCTTTAGACTACCCATACAACATGAAAGACACTTGGTGGATTGACCCGAGACAAGGGTCTGGAAGAGGAGATGGCGAATTTGATTTAGTCGGCTGCCTTGCCATCTGACACCCAGACCTCCTCATATCCCACCCTTCTCACAACAGACGCCTTATCGATCAATTTAGCCTCGCTCGGCTCCACCACCTCTTGATAGTAGGGATCTGCACGCAGGCGGCTCAGAATTTCCCAGTTTTCTAACACAATCTCCGCGTGTCCGTCAAAGGATGCCATTGCCTGATCGCTGTCTGCGGGCGTCTGGCCCAGGTACTGCTGGGCCATGACTGGTGGGGTGTGGAACTGGTCGAAAAACGGTATTAGTAATGGAATAATGTTGGAGAATTGACGTGAGCCTTTGGAGAACATACAAGGGTATAGCGATATACGCCATGGCGTGCCAACCAATTCTTCAACAACTGAGCGTGACTAGCAGTCCAGATGCTTGTGGGGAGCGACAAAGAGCGACGGTGTCAGCACAAGCTTTCCAATATGGCTTGTAGCTGGACTTCGAGCCGAGCTTACTGGTGAAACACTTCCGCGGTGAGGGACGGATGCCGCTTCACATAAGTGTCGAAGCGAATTAGGTGCTTGATTATTGCCATCTTTGTAACTAGATAAAAAGCAAATATGTATTCGCTTTGCGCTAGAAGTGGGAGCAACGGGCGCAAAGGAAAGGGCTGTGAGAGAGCATCTGTCGGTCAGGGTAGTGCGACTCTTATATCTTGCGGTGCCCAACAAGGATAGAATCAGTACCATAGTACGCATTACCCATCTGCCGGTGTCTATAGGTACGGTCTAAAACACCGAAAGTGAAAGATATCCATGGTGAGCCAATCTATCTCGTTACTCGCTCTTGAGTTGGTTGCGTCCCGTAGCTTATATATACCTAGCAGTATTGTCCGCTCTGTAAGATTCGGGGGGAAGACAAGGACAAATGGAATCTAACTACTGAATCATTGCGTACTTGAGTAGGAACATTACACTCTCCGCCGACCAACTCCGCCTCTCAACCCCAGGCTAGTGCTGTTTAGGTGGAGTCAGGGCTAACCGACAGTGTGGAAAGTATTGCGGCGAGATCTACTATGATCCAGCCCCTCTGTAAAGGCACCGTGCGACGTAGATATAATGACGATTCTTGTACATTTCCCAATCACGGTCCTCTCATGAGAAAATCTTGGAATGTTCTCTTGTTTTGGCCATGACGACGATAACACCCACGCGGATCAGGGCTTTTGTTAGGAGTCCTTGTCTGATAGGACATGGCCTCATAAGGCCTCGAACGCTTGAGAGTCTGAGGAAAAAAAATTATCACTACTTCTATGCACTGTTCCATACTATGACTTCCTGTGATAAAGTTTGGAAGAGCTGCCACCCACTACTACAAAGGTTGGCCGACGGATTGAGTACCATCTCATCCTCAGCACACCGGTATTATTGACAAGTACCGTTGGATGGCCATGCACAGGACGAATCTCGGTGGCATACTTGAAAACCGCGGTAATCGAGAAGATTGGGGGGTGTAATAAACGTAACGGAAATGGTAACGGGCGTAACCAACTCGGTCTCCGAAACCGGCTCGGAGCAAACACTCAATTCTTCCCTCAATAACCTCCGATCGCAATTCATATCCACATATGCCTTTACGAGATCAGGGCATGGAGGACACGAGCAATCGGCCGCGAATCACAAGAAAACATTCAGGCTGCAAGTCTTGTCGACGGCGAGGCAAAAAGGTCAGTTGTCTCCAGGGGTATAAGTAATCGGAATAATCCTGCTCACTATCCCGACAGTGCGATGAATCAAGACCGCGTTGCCGAGCTTGCGCCCGGCTATCCTTGGAATGTATCTATGGCATTGACTACAGCTTCCATCACATCACTCCGACGAACTTGCAAAGACAGCCGACCGCTCTGGCAGTGGGATCCCGGTCAGCTCCTCTTACCCCAAGAATCGCCAGAGCTCTGGACTGTGGGGATAATCTTGAGACGTGCTACATAAGCCACTTCCAGAGGCATGTGCGACATCTGCTCCCCGCATCCCCTTTGCCCTCTACAGACACGACCTTCCACTCACCGTACCTCCGAGCTGCTGCCTTGTGCATCTCCGCATCCAATCTCTCAATGTTGGATGCACAAGTACAGAGTCGTATCCTCGTGGGAAGCCATCGTCAGTCTTGGTTTAGCCCACTGGTGAATGGCTTACATCACACCAAAGCACGGGACTATCACGATCGCGCATTACAACTCTGCCGCATGGCAGACATGAAAGAGCTCTTGGATGACGCTCCTGCTATTCTTGTAACACAAATTCTTCTGGCATACTACCATCACGCGTCGACCAACCACCAACGCTTTCGGTCGGCGGTGTGGGATACTGTTGAATTTGTCTCTCGGAATAGGGAGTACATCATGCGGTCCCGGGGGGGTATGGAGGCCCTGCAAATGTGGCATCGCTTATGTGTTTCTCATCGTCTATCTAAGCCACCATCACTGCTTCTGGAGGGAGAGGGCAGAAGTTCGTTCAGTCCAAGTTTTTTTCCAGACGCCACGGACCAATTATATCTTGGCACCGTTTTGGGGATGAGCATGGATGACCTGATCTACGACATCCTTATCAAATCTATGGAGATCCGCTCGCGACTAGTAGTGTTCCGCTGCGTTGCCCACCATTACCGGATTCCCGAGTCATCAAGAGAGGTGGGTGGTCTCGCTCACAGTCTCCTGACCCAGATGTTAGGCAGACCCTTCGTCCACGAAGAGCTTTCCGAGGCCCAGAAAGGCTTTGTGCGTGGCTCGCACCTACTGGGGCTATTGCAGGTGCAAAAGGAACGGTTATCTGTGTGGAAATCTCTCCGGCACACGGAACGATCGCCTGTCAGTCGCCAGGCAGACAATCATCGTGATATGGTGTCTCCAGGAGAGTGGAGCCTTGCAACTCATCGAGATGCGATGAACACCCTGTATCAGATACTTTGCGAGATGATCTTTGGGGAAGCCTACGCGGTGTATGCATTTGACTTCGCGTCGGAGCAGCACTCTGCCGCGACTGCGCTTTCTCGTCTGGCAGAGAACTTCTGCCACATTGTGAGCACCTTGGATTTTGCTGCAGTAGGTACGGCCGATGTGTACACCTTTAGTCTGGCCGAAAGTCTCCTTCAATTGGTCGTTCTCTGGCGGTCCGATAGTTTGTTTCACTTCATTCTGGACGTGGCGTGGCCGAACATGGAGGGGAAGACTAGAGGATTCGAGCACTCGCACTATCCCACTCACCTCGCGAAGCGGATCATCTCCCTGGTGGCGGATTATTGGTCCCGGGGCAAGACTGTGACCCTCGTGTTGCCCGCCGTTCCAGAGGATATCCCGAAAGTGAGACTCCTCGACCTCAACCATCCAATGGAAATGGTGATATGCGGAAATGATCCGGACGACACGGTGTGGATGAATAAGATTCTTCTCCCTTGAGCAAGGGAGCTAAACCCGATCGGGTCAAATTATACGCGGTAACACCGTTACGCGGGGAGAGTGGACCCCACCCTGCGTACTCTCGTTTCCATATCATCCATGTTTCCATAATACTACTCGGTACGGTCGTGGGTATAAAGGCAGCAGGTTGACCATCAAGAATTCGAATCCCATTCACTCATTACCTACCTCCTTGTTTGTTTGCAGACATCTGTTCACAATGCCGCGTGCTATCTGGACTAAAATTCTCTCGGATGTCGCCATCAAGCGATCCTCCCAAACCCTCGCCATCCTCGCCAGCAACGCATATATCTATGGCGGAGAGCTGCGGCCAAGAGAACCAGTCGATTCTGCTGTGTACTGTCTGTCTTTGGACGTTTGTAAGTCGCCATAGTCTCTGTCACCCGTCAGTATATATCAAGACAATATATTGATTGACACAAACTAGCAAAATCCAGCAACCATAATGTCATACAGACATCCCCGTCTGCCAGTCACCCCCAGCCCCGCGTAGGTTCCGCCTCGACCGCGCTTTCTGGGAAACTCTACATCTTCTCTGGCCGGGGCGGTATTGCCATGGCTCCGATCGAGGAATCTGGCACCTTCTGGGTCTTTGATCCGACCCAGAACACCTGGTCCCAATTGACCCCTGCAACTTCGAACTCGCAATACCCTGTGGGTCGAAGCTACCACACGCTCACCAATAACGGCACGGACACTATCTATCTGCACGGTGGCTGCCCATCCAGTGGTCGTCTACGCGATCTTTGGGCCTTCAACATCCATTCCAGGCAATGGCTAGAGTTGCCACCGGCGCCCGGCCCGGAACGAGGCGGTGCGTCGATCGCGTACGTTGACCAGCGAGTTTACCGGATGAACGGATTTGACGGGACCAGAGAGCAAGGTGGGTCCCTGGACGTGTACGATGTACAGACGAACGAGTGGACCAGTCTCAATTATGCATCGGATGGAATCTCCGGGCCTAGTCCGCGAAGCGTGGGCTGCTTGCTCGCCACGACGATCGGTGGAAGGCAGTCTCTGGTGACAATGTTTGGTGAGCATGATCCCAGTAGCCTGGGACACCAGGGTGCTGGAAAGATGCTGGCGGATATATGGGCGTTTGATCTCCAATCTCAGCGGTGGGCACAGGTGGATATTGCGGAGCCAAACAGACCTCCGGCGCGTGGCTGGTTTGATGCGGACGTCATCGTCCCTGAAGCAGATGGCAATACTGGAAGTATAGTAATTCACGGTGGACTTGCTGAGTCAAATGAGCGGTTGGATGATGTGTGGCGACTAGATTTTGTCTAGTCCTGCCGTTGTTTTGTAATGGACTATTGTTGGCCTACTTAATACTACATCGGGGTGTTGTCTTCTCTTGGACTCATATGTAATGATTTTGAGTGTCGCCGCATATCTGGATGTATGACTAAATAGGCTAGTAGGAGAAGGACAGTCAATGATTGGAAGGCTACACAATGTGACATGAAAATTCAAACAGTAGGCCATCCGAAACTTCGCACGATGCTACCTTAACAGTATCCCCCAAATGAAAAAGCCTTACAACAAGATGCTGGCTGCAACAGGCTTGGTCAGTACAGTAGAACGCGTAATTCTCGACCCCATCAAGTTTGCCTTTGTAATGTTTCAGACAACGATCTATGTCAAATGACAATACTTCTTCCTTCCCTTCTTATATCTTGCAGCTTCACCAGGCCGATCTCTAGGTACATGATATCTGAAAGCTCCTGTAAAAGTTACCATCCTTCCCGCTCAACCGGCCTCCTCCTGCTGCGACGATACAGGCAGGGGTAGCCACCTTACCAAAGTTTCTAAAAGCACCAGTACAGTTCTCCTCGGCGAAAGTATATGGAGCACAGTTATCTGCCAGCCTGGTCACCCACATATCATAGCTCTCTTTCACAGACACACAAACACCAGGTAGTGTCGTTTGGCCGGTGATAGTCTCCGCAGTAAGGTTACTGCATGCCGGTGCATCTGCTCCACTATTTGCAATAGCATAGGCCGTGCTATTGAAGATGCGCTCCAGGTCACTGATGAAGAGCGAAGACTTGAAATTCTCAAGCTCCTGTGTCTTTTTCATTGCGATCGAGGCGACGATGAGTGCCACTACAGCGCAGAGCGACAGGAAAATGATGAAGATGTTGAAAAGTAGGGTCTTCGTCTTTGACATCCCGGACATTTGCTTGGATGAGGCGGAGATCTGCTCTACAGAAAAGCGTTCAACCATCGTGCAGGTTTGCAAGTATGGACTTGGAAGGATCCTATCATGTCAGGTCATTACTCTTTCAGGCGGTTTATGGGCGAGTCTTTATTGCTTACTGTCACCGAAGATCCCAATCTCAAGCAATTTTATGGGAGTATTTTTCACGACGTGCCCACGGTGGGTTAGTATTTCAGTGCAAACTGTATGCAACACGGAGAGTGATGCGATATTTATGCGGTGACTTTCGGTAAAGTGTACCCCATTGACCTCGGCCACGTAACCAATGATGAAGATAAAAGGTAAAATGAAAAAATAACCTAAGTCGATAAATTTGTGCAAGGAAGATAAGAAACACCAAACTGATGAGTGGTATAATAGACAGTGTGGCTACCGAACGAGAAGGTTGTGGTCATTACATGTCATGCGCACTAGATCTAGTGGACCCGAAACATATACTGTTCTCAAGTTATGGATCCACTTCAGGAAACATGATAAGGCCTAGATAGAAGCGAATGGGCAACGTCGAGTAAATAGCTCGTACACGATGGCCTGTGGGCTTCCTGACCCCAAAGGACAATGCACCCAATGGCAAAGGGCATATTGGATTACTAGGTCACATCAGGCTATTACTTGGGATACATTGCTCTGAAACCTGTCCTATCACAAATCAGAGACATTCTGTCAAAATACCTCACCACAAGACGCTCAGGTCACTGCTATGCAGGGGTCAAAAGTCTCCAGCGATAGGAAGGCACCTGCCTAATGTGGTGCACGGTGACAGCTCCGCGCTCATGTACAAATCAAGTGCTAGACAAACCCTGCATGGAAGTTAGACCCTGGGTAGTATCTTTTCTACTTCAGATGAGAAATTGGGGGGACCCATGTCTTTTGGAAGTGGAGTCCGTCGGTGACCATACAGCATTGGTGGGGGTGACTGCATATGGAGTGGAGAAATGGCCGCAGAGATTATCCTATCATTAATCGACAATGATTGCTGCTTCATAAGGCTAATACCTCTGCTTCAGCTGAAAGGAAATGTTGTGGATAAAGGGATATTACTTGTGGGTCTACCTGCATACTACTAGGTCAGCAAAGTGAGTTCCCACGTCTGAGAGCCGGACTCCGTCGGCTTGCGTTTCCGGCAAGATCAGCGATGGCCGGTCGAGTAGCTTGAACTGAGGGTCCAGGAACTCAACCATCATGTACAGAGTAATACCAATCAAATTCTTCTTCGGGGTAATGACGTAATGAAGCACATCATGATAGTGTCTAACAGTATCGCTATACTCACCGGCATTACCTGAAAATTCATCTACGTCGGGTATTCCGGGCCCACAAACGACTCGAAAATTAGCCAGTGCACTACTACATGGCACCATCTTACGATGGTGTATTTTGTAGACCGAGTTCGTGGTCAATGCGATATACTGCCCTATCAAGGAAGTCGGGCTAAATTTGATACTTGTCAAACGGGGTCTGTGAGAATAGCCACTAAGCAACAGTGGTATACCACGACGAGTTTTCTCGGGCCAATCATTATTAGTTTTGGGTGATCAGACATGGAATCCTGGGTTTTACCAGAGACCCCTTCGCTTCAGAAGGGCTAGTCTCACTCGGTCCCATTGTAGGTCAGGGACCTCCCTACAAGGGTTCCGCATATTGAGTTCAGGCTCGGAAATTATCACGGCCGGGGTCACAAGCTGTACCGCCTGGAATATCAAGTAATTATATTCGGTGGTAGTTTATTTGTGTACAAGGTTTCAAGCGCAGTAGCGCTGAAACTGGTGGCCCTAAGACGTATGGCTCTAACCGGCGAGCGATCGCCGGCCCAATGATTGAGGTGATACAATATTACCTGCGTACTTAGACATGAAGTACCTTGTTTGCATAGGCATCGTGATGCCTGTAGGTCATCGGCCCAATATTACCAGAGTCACGGAGCCATACAACACAGCTGCTGCTGCATGCAATGGATATTACATGTATTAAGACATTAAGGTTCATTGTTCCCACCAATGTAAGGAAATAGAGAGTCAACATCCAGTATTAGCGCTAAGTGATGCTTATCACATGGCGATTGTGGTATGAAGCTAGTATCTTGATGTCTTCGGAAATGAACTTCTTATCATGAACGGTAGTGGGTTGGTGAGACACAGCCTACTTCCAACTAAACCATGGCAGTACCCCTCAGACAACCGGACCTTATATTATAAATTACTTGGTCATCTCGTTCTTTCAATTCACCACCGTCAATGGAAATCTTGTCCTTCATTTGTTTGTTGCTCGGTACTTTAATCCTCCTCCATCCGAAGGTCAATCTGTCCAATCTCGTGTTTGAGTCTTGGTATTGATTTTTTTTCTGTACTTAGGTTCCCAAATCCCTGACGTCGCCAACTCGCCTGATCATGGTATCTATGAACAAAGTAATCATGAAACATTGGTGGAATTCATTCGCACTCCTAGTGCTGTTGGCATTTGCCTCCGTGGGGATTTCTCGGCCTACAATCATTGATATTACCGCCGAAGAGTTCATGAACTTGGAAAAAGTCACCGTGAGGCAGGATGGTACGCTCACAAATCAGTCCAGCTCCCCTGATATTATCTGCACAGGCTGTACCTCCACATACCATTACACCAAAGTAGGGGATGGCAATCCACATCAAAACTTTGTCATCACCCAGAAGGGCGGGACACTGGTGAACTGCGCCACATCAACTACATCCACAGGGACAGGATACTCCACCACTCTTGATTGGAGCTTGTCTCTTGGTGTAAATTCAGCATTCTCATCAGCAGGATTCGGTGTCTCAGAGTCAGAGACCTACTCGGTTTCTAACACCTTCACCTGCAACGGCGTTGCTGCTGAGGGAGGGGACATATGTGTTCTCTTCTACCAAGCCGTTACTGCGTTTACCGTCGATGTAACCCAGGTACTTGCCTGTGAGTGTTCTGGGGGATCAACCATTGATCGGGGAACTGCTACAGTCTATGCACCCAATGCGAACCAAATGGGCAGTATTGCTGGGCGAGGTATAAATGTCGCCCAGCACGGTGTGGTGCAATGCTCAGGAAACGCAGACAGAAGAGTTAACTACTACTGCGGACCTCCCGGCGGACCAGAGTTCTGGAATGGTTTGGATGCAGGACCATGGGTCTCCCAATACGTCAATAATCGTGCACCAGCCGGTTGCTCTATTCCTATCGAAGCCAATAGGTACACTGACTGATGGATGCGAATGTTGGTAAGCCAAGTCTATCATTATTCATCCGAGCTTCCAGATTATTAACTGCTTCAATCGCTAACCCTGGCAAGAAACACAAGTCAAGTACCTACCGAAGCGCTTCTCTTTCCCAAAGACGCCCAAGGTATACCATGGGGGTCTTGACAACGAGGCTGAGAGATTGATTACTGGCCGTCCTTGGCTTGGGTGACTTGACATAACATTGTCCAACATATGGGTTTAGAGATGTTTTTGTACTCTTAGTGCGGGGCAGTAATCAACTCGATTTATTGCGTACGGAAGGATGGGCCTTTTTACTTCCACAACTAGCACATTGGAACATTGTAACATTGGACATGGGTCTCGGCCTCGCGCCCATCGTACCTCATGTACGTAGCTCATAGCACGTATTTGTAATTTTAGTATAATTCGAGTAGTAAGTCATTATAGAGTGGTCACGACAGAAAGTAAGTGGATGGATATATGGGTCCAGAAGCGAGGCTTGAGACCTACACTGGGGAAAATTCTTGGTTGGCTGACATGTCTAATTCATCGCCTGGTAGAATCGGGCCAGCTATGCTCAAAAGGAAAAGTTCTGTCAGCATGCTTCCATTCGGTGAGTTGAGCGGTTCACAATAACTCCCACTATATTTCCCTCCCGAAGAAAGCATTCTAATCATAACAGCAGATCGAGACAGCAACAACATGCAAAGGCCGAAAGAAGGCCTGTGCAACATTCCTCTTCTCCTGACGCTTGGTTACTCTGCTGTATACGTCCTTGGGGGACTTGTTGAGCCGCCATCGGGGCTGGATATTGCATCGACTGTGGTGGTGGGCCTTGTGGTGGATAAGCCGGCCCTTGAGGGTATCCATAGGTTGCAGCTGGCTGGGGCATTTGGGGAGGAGGGCCCGCGTAGAAATTTGGTGGAGGACCAGGCTAAAGGCTGTTAGTCGACTGTCTCACCTCACATAAGCGTTCAAATCTTACCGGGGGCTGGTATTGACGTTCATTTTCTGCCATGTTTCCTTGATTCGTGGATATATGATAACCTATACTAGACTCCGAGGGGCTTCCAAGCTCCGGACGACGTGTATAGCTGCTGATTTGCACTGGAGGGAGAACAATAGTGTAGAGTGAAATCAAGAGATAGGTTTACAGGAAATATGAACCCACTAATGTACGCCGTAAACATCGCCGCCGGAAGAATATAACTGCCTGTTCGCACGGAGAAGCCGGAACCCAGTGGATACTCCCGTTCGTCAGGCCTCAAGAACCTACCAATCGCCAACTAGATAACCCAATTCCGAGGTATACACCATGGTTGAGCTATTATCACCTATACAGGGCCAGATGCTGGGATCTATCCAGGAAATGTAATGGGGAAACAATCCGGCGTATGCATAGAGGTGATGATAGTCCGCCATAGTCGAGGACATTACTTGGACTAATGTAAGTTGCGCCGCCAACACACCGACAGCGACATACTATTTTTGAATCTCTTCAGAAGAAATACTCCAAGGCTGGGGGGAAGTTCTCAGGAATAATCGGATCAGGCTGAAGCTATCGTGACGGGAGTGGTTCCTCGTGGCTCGGAAATTCACTGGAAGGCTCCCTGGGATTTGTTGCCACGTTGGCTAGCTGCACCGCCTCCTGCAGGACTTTCGGCCGGCTGAATATGAAACAGGATGCGTTGGATGCCCTCACCATCAACAGTGTGGTTGCCCAGTTGTTCGGCATGGTATAGACAAGCCTCTGCGCTGGTCGGGATGATGTCAAGTGGCGCAGGCGCCTAAATACTTTGCCGGCCAACTCGGCCCGCCATATCCGGTGCCTTATTTAAGAGGAGATATAAGATCCACTCGGTATATCCCGTCTGTCATCTTTTACTCTCAATCACAACATAGACCAGTACTTACTTCAGTACTTACGCGTTCGTTTCATCAAAATATTCCCCGAAGTTATCCCAACTCATAAGGTGTCAAGAATGCCTCCACCTGCCCCTATTGTTCCCGAGGGCTGGAAAGCCGAATTTGATGACCGATATCAGGAATGGTAAGCACCTACCGTGATGTTTTTGTTTTTTTTTTTTTCCACTCAACACTTCCCGTACTAATGGCCCTGTTACCGTTTAGGTACTATGTCAATCTTCACACCGGACGCTCGCAATGGGAACGGCCAGACCGGCCAGCCCAGCCTGATGGCGCGGCTCCCCCTCCGAAGGGTCCCCCGCCCAGTTACGAGGCCACCACGCGTGATCGACAAGATCCAGATCCACGAGCTCGGGATCGTCCGGATGCCTACTACTCCTCCCCGCGACCTGCTTCGCAGTCCAACTATATGCCGAATCGAGGGGAAGCAGCCTATGGCTACCCGCAGCCCCAGTACGGGTACAATGGCTACGGCTATAATCCTGCGTATCCCCCGCAACCTGCCTACCCCAATCAGTATCCCAATGCATACCAGAACGGCTTCGATCAAGCCCAAGCCCCGCGCAATCAGAAGCAGAAGAAAGGCATGGGCAAGATGGGGGCCGCTGCCCTAGGAGTGGGCGGAGGATTGCTGGGAGGATTTCTGCTCGGAGAAGGCATCGAGGCGTTGGAGGATGATTTTGATGGTCCACCACCGCCAGGACCGGACTTTGACGACTTTGGAGGAGGTTTTTAACCTTCTAGTGCTTGATTGTGGTTATTTTCGCGACGACGATATGATGTTTTGTAGGAGAACTGTTTATGCCAACTCGATACCCAATAGACTTCAATACAGACTCCTTCAGCCACTATATCGGTGGATACTAAGCTTTCGATCGATTTGAGATGGAAAAGTGGGTGTATTCGTACACTGCGGTGAGGGGTGGATGACATATTAGGTTCTCTCTTCAATTTTCTCTCTCCTCTCCTGGGGGTTTAATAACGTAATCTAGAACCCCATTAAATACTGTACTCACTGCAGGCAATGTCAGCCAATATGCTGTCATACCCAGCAAAGTTCGTCCCGGTTTACATATTGGGAGAGCGGGGCAAAACCCAATTCTCCTCTGGGTATTTTTGCCATGGATTGTCCGTGCATACTAATAAATAGGGGAGGGGAAGGGTATGCTCCCCGCAGTGGGCTAAACCCCGATCCAAGGGACGTCTGGAAGACGATGCCCGGGTCCACCTGTGGATGAAACTTTAAATAACTTTGATTCTCTCAGGCGTGTTAATTCCGATGGGGATATAGGGTCCCCACACCCCACAAGACGCAAAAGATCACTGTTAAAGTCCGCTGGATGCCAGCTGGACCGAAAGACCCCACCCGACATGTCTATCATATTAGACCAAAGGGTGTAAGCACCCATTCTTCACGGTCCTTGGTGACTCATTTTTGAGTTGATGGTAGGTCGACCATCCTTATTCCCTGCACAAGGTCTCAGCGATTTATCTCATAGTTGAACAAGTTGGGCTCCGGTCGGAAAAGACAACCAGTGAGTGGTAGACTCCCACCAACCATCCCCGTATTGTACTTAGTAGACCTAGGGTGGGCAAGAATCGGAACACAACAACCACTCAATTCACCTCTTCGACACCTGGGTATCCCCAGTGGCAGACCAGTAAGTTGTAAGTGATCCTCGTGTTGTGATTGCTGGTATTCCCGGACAAGACCTGCAGCTTGACTGGAGCTTACGGGTCTCGGTTTCCGGCCCTCCTTGGCTTGTCTGGCCCCGATCGATACACGATGATCTGACCGACAACCCCGGCTTGTTGGTGCTGGTGCATCTTTGGAGGATTAGCAGACCAAGAGAATTACATTCATACATTGATGCCATCTTATGCTCTTCAAGTCTACAAAGTTCTCGCCACTTTGGACAAGCGATCAGCCTTGACCTCAGTCTTTGTCAACTGGCGGTGTCAACCAAGCAGAGATCTGCCGTGCAACAATTGAACCAGTTGGCGGGTTTGCCGATCTCGCTGCGGAAATTCCCCGCGTCTTTCGTAAGCCGCGTGAGAAGCGACTAACTAGTCTAGTTAACTAGTTTACTGGGATTTTTGTTAGTGAATAATTAAATTTGTTGTCTATACCTTTCTTTCCCTTCACTGGTTCTTGGGGTGGCACCAAAGGTGGCACCAATTACGCCTTCCTCTTTCAATTTCCCCCCTCCCACCGTCAGCTATCCTCGGACGACTAGTACTTACTTCTTCGACGGTCTTCCCTCAACCCTTCGCGCCATCGCTCTCAATGGCGAACATGGGGGAAATGGAGTCCAACATATCCAGCGCGCAGAAGAAGGACCCATCCTCCACCACGGCACTCCACGATTTACCAGTCAACGATGAGGTTCGCCCCGCGGTCTTTTCCTCCACCGTTCAGGAGATCCTCTTTGTCGCCGTGGCCACCATGGCCATTGCCATGTCCTCGCTCCTGACCGGCAGTGTCACCGTCCTCACCTCGCAAGTGCAGACGGATCTGGGCATGACCACCGCTGAACTCACCTGGCTGGCCGGTTCCTCCTCGTGCGCCATCCCTCATTTCCTCCCCTATGTCCCTTCGCCTATCCGTGTATCTAATGATGAGCAATCTCTAGGCTCGCCTGTGGCTCCTTTCTCCTCTGCTTCGGCCGCCTGGCAGACCTGTTTGGCCGCAAGACCCTCTTTCTCGGCAGCCTCATCTTCTATGCTGTGTTCGCTCTGGGTGCCGGATTTTCCCAAAAGCCCCTGCAACTGGACGTGTTGAACGGCGTGATGGGCCTGATGTCAGCTGCCTCGATCCCACCGGCTCAGGGGATGCTGGCCAACCTCTACCCGCGCCCGTCCAAGCGCAAGAATCGGGTGTTTGCCTGTTTCAGCGCTGGCAATCCTTTGGGCTTCGTGTTTGGCACTATATTCTCGGGTATTGCGACCCAACTGTTTAACTGGCGAGCGAGCTTCTTCTTGTTGGCAATCATTTACGTCGTGGTGGTGGCGGTCGCAATCTGGGTGGTGCCGACGGACCATGGGGCCAAAGAGCCTCTGTCCCTTCTCGCTCTGAAAAAGTTCGACGTCGTCGGGACGATTCTGACCATCGCCGGGATTGGCATGTTTTCTGGCGCCTTGAGGTGCGTTACCTGACTGTCCTCATCATATCCTCATCTTTCAAGACTGACAGTGGAATCGGTTCTAGTCTTGGCTCGGATGCCCCTTCTGGGTGGAAAACACCATACGTGCTCGTACTGCTCATCCTGGGCGCGCTGTTCATAGTTGGCTTCGTCTTCTGGGAGCGATGGTATGAATACCCCCTGGTGCCCATGTTCATCTGGCGCGACCGGGACTTCTCCTTGGTCATCACGATTCTGCTACTGGGCTTTCTCGCCTTCCCCATCATGACCTTCTGGATCTCGCTGTTTCTGCAGGAACTCCGGCACTACTCCGCCCTCATGGTGGCCGTGCACCTGCTCCCCATGGCGATTGGCGGCATCCTGGTCAACATTGTGGCGGGGCTCATCATGCATCGGGTGTCCAACACGTTGCTCATGACGATCGGGGCCACGGCGTACACGGGGGCCTTCCTGCTCATGGGTCTGCAGCATTCGAGCAGCAGCTACTGGGCATTTATCTTCCCTGGGTTGCTGCTGGCGGTGGTGGGGGCGGATTTTCAGTTCTGCGTCGCAAACATGTATGTAATGAGCGCGCTACCAGACGACCAGCAGAGCATTGCCGGCGGCATCTTGCAGACGGTGACCAAGCTGTGCGTGACGATCGGGATGGGCATCAGCACGGCCATCTTCGATGCCGTCGAGGCGGGCGGGCCCACCAGCCATGGGTACTTTGCCGGGGATGCAATCGCCCCGTACAGCGCCACCTTGCTCTACTGTGCTGGAATATCGGCCATCAGTATTCCCTTGTGTGCCTTTTTACGTATCGGAAGACAGGGACATGGCGGGAATGACAAGGCGCGGGCGGCGGTGGGGAAGCGAAGCAGTTGGTGTGGGCGACGCAGGACCAAGCAGGAAGCGATCGAGGATGAACATATTAATTCGACTGTATAGGCAACAAAGATAGGGGGTACCTCATGTGCTTTGTATCCCGTATAGATGAAAATTCAGCCCATTATGCCACATGCTTATTGTGATTGCCTAGGATTGTGTTAGGTACCAACTATCCCCAAGGATGTGCTGCAGGAGGGCAGTGACGTCACAGACGAAGGGGAGCCTTGTCCTAATGGAGGGAGAAAAGATGGTATGGGAAGCAGTAGATTAATAGGTACCAGATACCAGATGGAGAAGATTTAGAGTTCTACAGCGATGACTGTCAGTTGGTTGTGTCAGTCCATCCGTCAGGGCAACCCTGGAATCCCCCGCCCTATACGTCATTGCTTCGCTACTCTTCCTACTCCCCTTCCAGATGAACTATCTGTCCTCGAGATCTCCCTTCGCAATCTCGCTTCCTCTTTTGATTCTCTCGACAATTTCATTTCATCTAACCTTCCCTTCTCCCTGACCTGCTGGCTCTCGTTCCGCCATCTCCAACATCTCCCGCCATGTCTCTCAGCTCCGCGACCGGCAACCTGGCTGGCCGTCCGCCCAAGTTGACCAATGACCTCAAATCCACCGTCCAGCAAACCCAGGACACCACCACGCAAACTGCCACTCACTTGTCCGACTCGGTCCTCCCCGGTGAATTTCCTGGTGATTCGGATCACATCCATGATGCGCAGCGCGACGACACCAACAACGGACCCGTGCTGGCGCCTCTCCAGCAGTGGTGTCGCCAGTCCCTCCCTCGTCTGCTCGATCGCTTCGAAGCCCATCTCGCCGGACTGCTTTCCTGGATCCTCCCAGCACCGCGCCAGGCCTGGCTGTACGATGAGGCCGCGCGTCGTCCCGCCAGCACCACCTTTCTCATCTGCCAGGCCATCTGCTGCGGCGTGCCCTTACTCGTCTTTCTCGCCGGTGTCTTTGTCTTCGCTGCGGTCGCCATTCTTCTCTGGGCGGTACTGTCGGTTCTCATCCTGGGGCCGGTACTCCTGGTGGCCAGCATGATGGGCGTGTCGCTGTGGGGTTGGGGTTGGTTGCTGTACGGCCTCGTCAAGTGGATCGATGAAAAATACCTGGGCGGGTTGATCTCTCGGTTCTGGCTATCGCGCATGCCATCGCCGGAGGGTCAGGATCAGCAGTCAGCAGAAGGACAGGATGGAACCCAAGAGAAGAAAGCGCAGTAAGGTGATAATGATGCTGAATGCTCTTCATTCCGTTTGATGATTCATGATTATCTTAATGCTCGAATTTGTCAGTTCTTCTTGTATCTATAGTTGGTTAGTTCTATTCAAATTGTAAATATGGTTTGAAGCAGTAGTAGGTTCGGGATGTCCTTGAAGTGCTCGTTCGTAGCCGTTGACTGCATCAAATAGTAGTATATGCGATATGATTGTAGTAAATAAACATCTGAGTCTTTGACTACTAAGTGAGCAGTACTACTACTTATCAAGTTGTTATAATGGATGTTAGTAATGAGTTGTTCCTGTCTAGCCCAGAATCTCCGAAGCATTTCCGCTGACACACACAATCTCGGCTACTGCGGTCAAATTTTTTTTCTTTATTTTCTAGCCTGAGGTGACAAGAGTCTGGAATCATGGCTCACCGGCGAGGCCCAGCATGCCCCTCTTTCTTTTTTTTTTTCTTCTGTCCTTTCTCGCACTAATTACAACACTAC